TTGCAAATACCCCCACAAACCGGAATTATACACACCACCCCCCATGCACACACGTTTAAGCGCGGTCTCCCATTCCCCTCCTCCCCTGAGCGAGCGTTTAGCAAAACAGCGACGGGATCTATTGAGGACCAGTCTCTTTTCTCTTCTCTTTGTCCAGAGCTGATTGGCAATTTGTCTGGAGACGAATTACTTTGCTGGTTTCGCAGGAAAGGATGAACAGAATAAAGGACCAAAAGCCAAGGAATTAGAGAGCTAGTTAAGAGAGGGTGAGAGTGGAACAGAACGAAGAGGGTGAGCCCGAGAAAGACAGAGGCGCAGATTGCCGGAGAGGAATGCTGAAAAGACTGAACGAGAGTGTTGATTGAAATGCTTTGCGATGGCTGTCTGAAGTCTTTGTGCTTGGACAGAGTGCTTCAGGCAATTCAAAAGGCTTACTGCTCCTCTGCTCCCATTGTCACAGATGGAAGGATTTTGCATACCTCCAAGTTTTATTGATACTTTGTGTGGCTCCTTAGATCCATTTCACTCCACTTGAAAGCTAATGATTTACCTCAAAATATTTTGGGGCCTGTTGGAGCTGCAATGGACAATGTAACGTGATGATTAAAAAAAAAAAAAAAGAACACTTTTCAGAAGATGAATTTGACACTGACCACCCATTGTTCTCTGCATGTGTGAGTTGAATCCCATTGCAGGCTCCACATGGTTTTTCGTGTGACTTTCCACTGATCTGTCCATTTGTAATCATCCACGTCAAGAAAACCACACCGCCTCTTGACCTTAACGAATTGATCTGACTTAAAATAGTGATACAAATCCAACATTGCATCCCCAGGGTTATTTGGATGATGTTCAAATGTAATCACGATATGGACATGGCTTGATAAAAGAGAGTTGAAATTGTGTAAAAATGACTTCCCGACTGTAATCACATAACGGGAGAGAAACAATGACATGCACTCACTCAACTATATTTATGGTTCTCCACCCTTCCTCCTCCATTTTGGAGCAGCTGTAGAGGAGTGTCTCGGCCTGCGGCCAGTGAAGGGCCCTTCGGTTCGAATCCACCTCCCAACTGCTTGCTCCCATTATGCTGGAAAGCTTCCTGTTGCCTGTTCGCTTCACGAGCAGCGTGGCCCCGCTGCGTTCATGACTGCACTTGGCTACATGCAGAAGTCACATTTCACGGATGTGTTTACACGACAATAAAGTCATGGGAGTCCATGAAAAGCTGACCACAGTCGACTGTAGTTAAGTGACTCACCGCCCACAAGAAATGTTACTCAGCCATTCTCACCAAACTAGGTGATAATGTGGCTATACTTCCACTCATAAACTTCCGCTAGGATGTCCCCTATTGGGTATGTTTAAAGATACTAATCTCCCCGACAGACAATGGCTCTTCCTGAGAGGCTGTATATGATATCCTCTCACTTGGATTCATTGACAACTCCTTTCAAAATGCCTATTGTTCATTTTGTTTGACAAACCTTTTCAAACAGTAGCAAAAACAATATGTATTGGCTCTGTATGGCGTGGATAGTTTAACTTGATGTAGGCTACAGATGTTTTGGATGTTTTTGAATTAGCAAGTGAGGCATGAGCCAACATCTTGTCGCACTTGTTACAGCTTCCCAATATTTTGATGGATGATATCCTCTCACTTGGATTCATTGACAACTCCTTTCAAAATGCCTATTGTTCATTTTGTTTGACAAACCTTTTCAAACAGTAGCAAAAAAACAATATGTATTGGCTCTGTGTGGCGTGGATCGTTTAACTTGATGTAGGTTACAGATGTTTTGGATGGAATTAGCAAGTGAGGCATGAGCCAACATCTTGACGCACTTGTTACAGGTTCCCAATATTTTGATGGAAAAAAAAAACAGTCCATCAACATTTTTATCCAAGTGTACGTGTGATCCAATTAGTTTGGTTTTTCATATACATGGTTGTCTCTCTCTTTCCCTCTCACACAAACGCACACGATCCAAGCGTCCGCATCTCATCCTGTCTGCTTGAGTGCCAAGTGTTGAAACTCTAAACACATGTTGCGATGTTATTTCCTTTTCTACCGAATGTGTCTGCGACGACATGCTGTTCTAATAATTGTCCGAGTGCATTTTTCAGATGTCTGCCGTTGGACCTACCTCATTGAGGCTGTCAGCACAGGATAGAAGGAGGAGGCAACAATTAGATGTTTGAGGAGAGGCAAAGTAAGACGTTCATAAAAGTCTTAAGACAGACGGAGAAGATGTGCGGGACTGAGAGAACAACTCTTGGAGCAACTGCTGCGAGAGAAAGAACAATAGATCGGCCTGTTAGTGGAAATGCACCTCTGTCATCAAAGCTCAAGTCCAAGAAATATTGTGCATGGCCTTCATTATATATGGATTAAGCACGCACACAGGTGCCCACATGCACACAATCACGGGAACATGTTCAAATGCTATGTTGCAGCCAAACTCTCCCTCAATTGCAAAGCAGGCTTGTTCTTGGTCGACAGAATAAGTTTAAAATACAAGATTGGTTCAGTAAACCCAATCAAACATTCAATCCTATTATTTATTTCCAGCCCGGGACAATTACATTTGAGTAAACATACAATCAGTCAGGCACACAGCGAGGCTTCCAGGAAGTTGGCTCACTATTAAGCATCCCCACACACAAGCAAAATGGAAGCAAAGCGATGTCACGTCACCGCTTACGACAAAGCAAAATTGAAACGTGTTTAATCATGTAGGCCGACATGCTGCCTGACTGTGTTTTTTCACTTGCCCTTAACTCGATTTGACGAAGTAGGACTGAGTGTGGGCCATGGTTTTAAGCTAGTTGGCCACCAAGTACTGACAGTATGAATGCTGGCATGAAGCCCAGCCTCCCAGCACACGGCCTACACAGTAAACTCCCCAAATTTAGGCAGCAGATGGAATACTGACAGGTAGTTGGATTCTACCCAAGTAACATTACATCGACGGAAAAGAAGGTAAAGTCCTTCAAACTTTTCGCGCAGTAGTCTTCTCCTTATCTTTTAGTTAGCCTTTGTCCGTGTTTGTCTCGTCTTCCTACGCTGTTATGAAGGGTCACCGGGGTCAAATGTTCTCTTTTTACTGGCTCTGTTTCAACCATCATCATGTATTTTCTGTCCTCCCCCTGATTCATTCTCTTCGCATGACCGCCTCTCCTCTTTTGACTCACTTTCCGATAAATGATCTCTCTTTCTGCAGCAAAACAGCGACGTGCTCTCCGTCGTCGTGTCTTTTATGGCAGCGCCATTTACCACGTGTCACATCATTTTCCTGCGTTCCTACTTATGCTCTCTCATGCTAATTTTCACTCCCTCGGAGACAATGCACAGGAATGGGTGTGCGGCTTGTGGAGGGAGCTAAAGTTGCTTTTCAGTAATGATAGAGACATCCTGTTTCACGCACGCACGCACACACACACACATGCTCTCATGCTTTCATTTACAAAGAGGATGTTGGCTGGACAATGGATAGCCCTCAAGAGTGTTTTGGAGGAAGGGGGCCCATCTACACCTCGCCTTCCAGTGCCTGTACACTATTCCCTGTTTAATAGTTTGAGGTATCCCATTACAGCATATCTGACTTCAGAATTTTTACTGCAACACTCGTCTGTGCAAGAATATGCACTTTTTTTTCACATGAGAGTACAGTTGGTCTTGGGTGGTGACAAGTATGTAAATAGTTGCGGCATGTTGCTGCAAACCAAATTAGAATTTAAGAGCAAATGATTGAGTCATTTTCAGAGTAAAACGTTAATATCTTGTCTTTTTACTGCTGAAAATGGCAAAATAAGTTTAGTATCCTTTTAAGAAGGGGATGACAATGGAAGCCTCCCTTGTTTTGTGTCGTTCTATTGGGCAGTGCGTTCCAAAAATCTAAACTTTATTTCACACATTTGCTTTGTGTTGTTTCAATTGCTATTCCACTGTTGAGTGGAAGTGAACGTTGTGTTGACTAAACTCTTTGGGGCAGTGTCTTGCTCTGCCCTGTTGGCACATAGCAAATGAAGGGTTCGGTGAACGCAATCTGCACAATGAACTCAACATAAACGGAACACAAGCTGAGCATAAACTACAAACAACACTGCATCTGGATTGTGAATCTTTTACAATTCAACTGCAGACTGGCGAAGGCAACCTTATTTCAAAACTGTCTACATTCATGAGAGAATTCTGCAATCGCAGATATTGCACAGCATATTCAATGTTGCAACAATGCAGTCCTCTTCCGTTATTCCTCAGGCACTGCACCCGCAGTGAAAGTAACCCAATGTGGACTGAATAATACAGCCTTACGGCAGCTGCAAGAGTGTGTGCAGCCGACAGGTACAATGGTGTGATAAAGTACACATATTTCTCTTGTTTTGATTTGTCAGAGTCTATTTTCACTCTGCAGTCCAGATACTGTTTTTCTTCGACGGTTCACAATTTGGTTCTGCCTTTTCCGCAGGCTCTGTGATTGGAGTGGGAACTTTTGGATAAGAGTCATTCAAGCATGGCTTTGCCAAAACATATGATAATGAGCTTTTGTTGGCTCCACGTAAAAGTCCCAGTGTATGCGAGGTTGCGAGGAGGAGATGAATGGAGGTGGAGAGCAAGAGATGAGGAGAATGCAGAGAAAAGGAGGGGAGCGGCGGCAGAGAGAGAAGGAGCAGTGCCCCGGTGCTATTGTCCTGTCTGTCAGCTGCCGGGGGGGAAGAACAAAGCAAACTGGTGGCCTGTGGCATATCAAATGTCTGTCTCACTTGCTCTAACTCTTAGCCGTGTTATTCACTCTCCCGCTCAGTACATTCACCCCGGGAGATGTGTGACTCTCTTGTGTTTGTCGTGTCCCCCTGCCCCCTTCTGTCCTTTCTCATTCTTGATTCTTTTAGCACATTCATTTCCAGTCTGCTTCCCAAAGTGTAGCGAGCTCTGTCCCAGGTGGGGTAGGAACCATTGGTAGGTGGATCTCTGGATGACAAACACTACACCGACCGTAAGGAGGTCACGGCATGGCCAGTGCACTTCACACCTGTCTCTTGGCACCAGGGCGTGGGGAATGGACATTGTAACACTGTGCTGCACCTGTACGTCAGCGATCAGACCGTGTAAAGAAGTTTTTCCCAACCTTTATTGGACCAAGGCAATACATACAAACAAAAATGTCATCTCATTTTACTCACAAATGAACTTACTTCAGTGATGTCATGGCCTTCAAAGCCTTCTCTGCAGGTCCAAACACTATCACGTTTATGGACCTACATTCACAATTTACATGAAATGGTAATATTTTTTTTCCAAAAGCCTTTTGTCTTTTTGTCTTGGTTGCACGGTTTCCAGTTATTTGTGGGTTTTTTTTGTTTTTTTTCCCATCCCATCAGATTTCAGCTGCCATGTGTGTCCATGCAAATATTATTTCATCCAACGCCTTCACAATCTCAAGTGCAGGACCACACACACACACACACACACACACACACACACACACACACACACACACACACACACACACACACACACACACAGAGCGTTGAAATAGTTGGTTCTTCTTTTTCCGGTAGTCAATCAGATTTTAGATTTACCGCTGAACACCTTCTCGAAGGCCTGGTGATGAGCGAGTTTCTTCGTCCTCTCATTGGTTCAGCTATGTTTGGCTTCTGGTTGGTTGAGTTCGATGTGCATCAAAGCTCGATTTATGACGGCGGACGATGTCAGCCCATAATTAAAAATTCACTTTCAACGTGCACTTTTCAAGAAAATGTGGACTTGATGAGATTAGCTCAACCAAAACTCTTGCTGGCTTGTTTCAATTCAATTCTTTTTTTGGGGGAGGCCACTTTCAGAGTAGCTGGAGTATCCCAGGGTGGAAAAACAAACTTCAGCCATGAGTCAAACCTCAAATCTTGCTGTAAGACAGCATTGCTAACTACTGTTTTACTGTGCCGCAAAAACCTAACTGGCCTTAGAAATCAAGCCCTGGTTGAGTATTACATATCAGAAGTGTAATGCATGTACGCTGTGGAACATGCCGTTCTGTATATCTTCTTAAAAAAACACAGCATTGCTACCTTCTTGTTCTGACTGTGTAAGACTGCCTATTTTGCCTTCTGATATTAATGAGCTAAAAGACCCGCAGATCACTCACTGTGAGGGGAATCCCAACTTGTTTGGCTCTGTACACTCTGACTCATGTTGAGGTGAAAAGTGGAAATGGCGGCTCCTGTTTTGTTTCCCAATCTGTCATCTACTCCACTCGTCTCTTCCTAATCATGTGCTGTTGCTATACTCTACTGTCAAATAACTGTGAGGGAGATTTTTTTCCCAAGTAGAGTCGGGAGAACATTTGTGGCTTCCAGATACTATCCAATAAAAGCAGACCGCTAGAGCTCATTCTCTGTCTTCTCTTGCTTGTGTTTTAACTGTTTCTCATATGAACTCTGGCTTGAGTTGGGGTTGGCCGATGTCAAGTCCTGGAGTGGATAATCTGGAGCACCGGGAGAACACCAGGTGGGTTAAGATGCTTTATGAGCTGCTAAGGGCTGGTCCCCAAAAAGCAGAAAACTCACACAAAATCTGTCTCATAATTTGATCAATCCAGTACATATATTATCATAGAGTTGGATTGCGCTATAGGGCGAGCTATCTTAAATTCAAATGTGAATTGTAATTAGCTTTTTGTTCTTTTATTCAATTTAGAGAGAGTGACATTTACTATATTTGATCATCGATATTTTATTGATTGAGTGTATTATTGTCCTTAATTGTTTTTGTGGTACAAAGACTCATTAGAATTATTAGCAAGCAGGCCCCTGCTGGCCATCGGAAATTTTGTGAAATATGTGGTGATTTTTCCCGTGATGATCGATTTCAGGGCTGGTCGAACCGCATGACAGCCGACAATCGCTGATTAGCTTTCGTAGTGTGACGCCCCACGAACCTGACAGACAGAGATAATCAAGAAGTGTAAGTTTTCATTTCTTTTGTAAGCAATCAAAAATGGGCTTTGACAGTATGAAGGGAAAAGTCAACATTTCTAAACCTTGATATGCTGGAAGCAGTCCCAGTAGCATGCCCAGTCTGACTGTTGCTATTACTGAAAACACTTTAGACAGTGTTGACTTCTTGGAATGTTGTTGATTTTGATTGACGTTTGTTGTGTTTTGTGTTGTGATTAGTGCAATTGGAAGAGAAGGGTGATATCAACATGAACATCAATTTCTACTAAGAAACTGTCAAATTTTACGAAAAGAGAACAAACCTGTAGCTACTTGATTTAGTTTATTATGGTGCCATTTCAAGCTTGTGACAAAAGAAATTAGTCTTTTTCCGTTGCCTTTCTGTGCTGATTTTGCTAGCTGTCATTTTATTTTCCAAATTTCTTATTCATTCCAATTTGAAAATGTCAGAGCATACCCAATAACAGAATAAAGCATGTGTTTACTAAATTTTACTCAACTAAAGACCATTTTAATCGACTTTAAAACGGAGACAGTGTGCGCAATGAGCACATGCTCAATTTAAATAGGCCCTTTCATTCCAAACTACCGTTGAAATGAGCTTGAACAATCCATTGAACTCAAATGTCTCAAATGTCATCGAATGCACGAAATGAATATTTTTATGATGTATTGCAGTCCTTCTTTCCAGCTCTTCATCTTGTTGGAGAGAGGGGTAATAGCCCTCAAAACAGCAACAACAAAGGCTGTTGTTTTATATTGAAATTGCTGCCAAAAGCATGAAATATTTAATGTGAGAGAATTCTGAGCAACACAAATGACCTTCACAGTGTGAACAACGTGTTGATGGACAGATAACATGGCTGCCGCTATTTGTTGACAGGATGCAGGCTGGCTTTAACCTTTGACTCATGCCAGTGGCCAACTATAACCTTCCGACCCCCTGCTTTGTGTTTTTCTTTTTCTTCTTCCTCTTTCCTCTTGTTTTGCCATTTCCCAGATTTCCCAGAAGGTAAAAGAACTGTTTCTCCATATCTACACAACATGCAGTCTCATGTGCTTTGGTCAAGACTCGCTTTTCCTGGACAAATGTTTCCAAGACTCTTTCTATTTCCTTTTAAACCCATGACCATATTTTAGTTGGTGCATGTACTTGGATATGATTGATATTATTGCTATTTGAACTGAGCCTGGTCAGACACCTTTGGTGATACATTACCGGTACTCTGCTCCATTCAGATTGCCGTCATTGGTACAAGTATTTAATTTTTAACACAGTGCGATCAGATTTACTGGAAGTTACTTCTGAGACATTTGTTGACAAACTGTTGAATTTTAATTTGCACGTTTTCCGTGTTTTGCAAAGAATCAGAGTCAACAATATGCAGTGGGGCCTGCGCTCACAGTCCTGTCTTGTTAAGTGCTTGCATGGACCCATGGGGAGTGTTTGTGAATGGAACTGGGGTGAGGGTGATTTATGGCCCATATTTTAGACACCTTGGAACTGAACTTTGACCTCGGTGACGGATTGTTCTGCTAGCTTGAGGTAAGTGACACCACCAGCGTACACATGCGCACAGGAAAGCCTTTGTTTACGTACTACATACAATTTTGGGGAAAATCTTGCTTACTTTTAAACGTTGGAGGCTTTATTTGAATCATCTTAACTCAACGAAAAGAGTTTCAGACCTGACGAGATGAGATTAATTGATAAGTATGGAGACTTTCTCCGTTGTCCCTGAAACAAATGATGACATCTCCCAAGTGTATGCTGTCTTTCTTGATTAAAATTATGGTCTTAAGGGGGCATAAATCGGTCAGACAGATAGGTCACATGTTATTTTGGGGACTTTCCCCTCCTTTAGGGTTCACGAGGCAAGGCTTTGTGATACAAGAATAAACATTTACTGTTTGGTCAAGTAAGGTTAGTGTAAGTTTTAAGAAAATAAAGTGTAGCTTGTCTGAAACGTTTCAGGAGTGTGTGAGCCATGGAAAGAATTCAGTGAGTGAATGTGGGAGTATATGTTCTAATAAAAAGATAAAATTACATAGCTGTGCGTGCATGCGTGTGTGCGTGAGAGAGAGAGAGAGAGAGAGAGAGAGAGAGAGAGAGAGAGAGAGAGAGAGAGAGAGAGAGAGAGAGAGAAAAAACTGTATTTATGCAACCCAGGGTCAGAGGTTATCCTTTCTAAACTCAACCCCCACCAAGCACACACAAATGCAAATTCACATACATTCCTTTCCCTAATGACTTTTGTCTCCAAACTCAAAAAAGTTATTTGAAGACCCAAGAGAAACAACATAGAGAACAAGAATAGCTACTCTTTCTCTAGCGACTAATCCCTTGTCCTCGCCATGGTAACACACGGTCAACAGAAGGTTCAGGGGTCAGCAGGTGACCTCCACTGGTCCCATCTGGGCCAGAGGATAATGATAGATGTTCTTGACATGGTGGAAATAATAGGAAATAAAGAGATCTCCAGTCATGGGGCAACATCCCAATGTAAGTCTCCTCACTAGTTGGCTAAAAACGGAACAGGAAGCGAGGAGGCGGAAACAAAGCCCCTCACACAAAGGAACATATAACGTAGTATTTATTTACAAACGTACTATTTATTTCCAGGACTTGCATGAAAGGATGATTTGTTTGTGTGTTCAAGCTGAAAAGCTGAAGTCATGATTGTCGTGCCTGATGTCTCTCTGGTGACGAGGTTGCGTGTTGTAAGACCAAGGTAAAGAGGTCAAATGGCTTTGTGGCTTCTTTGGAAACCAGTAAAAAAAAAAAATGAAATCACAGATGGTGAGGGACTGTGCACCTCCGATGTGCTCAAGCAGCCTGCACAGAGCAGTAAATTATATGGTTTCCATCTCAAAGGCAGTCTGCAGAGTATTCAACAATGCACCGACAGTAGATGTGATTTCTCCAGGTGTTTGGACACATGACTGTCCCCCGTATTATAATGATAAACTGCTTCCTTTCAAATTAAGTAAAAGTTTGAGAAATTAGAAAGGTTGAGAGTATGGTGACTGTATACTGAACCTCAGAGGTGGGCCTTTTGCGAAATTAGCCAGTTCGTCAAGTGTCAACCATCAGCGGCGTGGACACCAGTCAGTCCATCTTCGTCAGTCCATAATTTCTTCAAACCGAACTACAATCGTCACTCTGTCAGTACGGCAGGTTATTTTAAAAGCGCTTCCATTGTTAAATTACATCGGTCCGCCAATCAGTGCGGTCATAGTTCAACAGATGAAAAATTCCATGTGATTAAAATGGTAAACGGGTTGCACTATCAGTGTTTCTACATTATACTGTCTGCCCAAACACCCACATAACTCACCTACATTGCACATACACTTAGTTGCCAATCGACAGTATTGAACTGGTGGCTTCCTGCGGCTGTTTTAATTCCTAAAACGCTCAAAAGGTTGAATTTAAAGTTTAAAATGATTTGCCTTAACAAGAATCCAGATACACATTGCGGCCAAGGGTAAAATCTAATCCAAGTACCTTGAGGGCATCTCTTTGGACAGACAATAGCAGTTGAAGCAGACTGTCAATAAACTAAAGTGTTTTTGTTAGAAACAACTTTGTGTTTAGATGAAAACTACCTCCTGTGAAGGAAAACATTACATTTAAAAAAATCCCTGTCACCTGCATGGCACCATGGCCTCAGGTGATGTGAGGAGGAGGTGTAGGATAATGTACTTTTGTGTTGTAATCTCCTGTGATTGGGTGAGGGGAGAGGCTCATCTGACAGGACTGTGCAGTAAGTGTGAATGACAAAGCACATGTCATGTCTTATATTTCAACCACATGCAGGACAATATGTGCCAATCACTTTCGGTGCAAATGATCAACAGCAATAAAAAGTTCTCTCTCACTCTCTTACACACACACACACACACACACACACACACACACACACACACACACACACACACACACACACACACACAAAAAATCAAGTTAACCCAAACTATATTTATCCCCTTGTGGATCTGTACCTGCCAACTTATAGCTCCCCCGGGTTCATCCTGTCATCCTCTTGCCGACTTCTCTTCTGCCTCGAGGCTACGATTGGTTCTTCCTGTCATTTGGAGAGCCGAGGAGAAAGAAGCGAAGTAATATTATACACGAAAGTCAATACATGGATTAGGTCACGGCAGTTGTACATTTAACTTTCATCATGAAAGAGACATAGTGTGTCAGGTTCTGGACCGAACTGAATCCTGTTTTTGGATTCCAGGCTGAATGCAGACTTGAAGTGTGATAACAAAAATATTTACAGAAAAGCACAAACAGAAATTGCTGGTCACAAAGAGCAAGGAAAAACAATGTATAAACAGAAGCTTGCAAAAGGCAAGGTGGGAGGGAACACCAAGAATAAACAAACAAAATGTCAAGAAGCCAATAACGCAAAGCCAAGGATAAAGAGCAATACCAAAAACAATAAAAATACTTACAAACTAGGATCTATGAATAATGACAGTGACTATGGATAGTATCGAGATGTCTAGAAAACAACACTTGAGGCACTAAAGAGAGCAAGGTCAATAATCTGACAGTGACTTGGAAACTTGGCGGTCAAGGCTTGATTGGGAAACACCGAACAGGTGCGCCTGCTGAAGGGTAACACATTTCGATGCACACCGAGTTGAAGTCTCAAGTGATGTCCCACTTGACAGTTTAAATTCATGATTTTTGTGCAAATTTTGACCTTTTTTTTTTTTAGCTGTGAATTAATTAAGTGGTGTGTTTCTGGATTTGTCAAGGTAGTTTCAATATTACCATTTAATGCTTGGTTCCAAATTTAGAAAAGAAGTAAAGAACTGTGACACGATGACAGTATGTGTGTGTGTGTGTGTGTGTGTGTGTGTGTGTGTGAGATCATAGTATCATTCAGAGCAGTGGGTCATGTCGATTTATTGCTGCTTGTTGATTTGCGGTAAGCCAATAAGGCCGACATTAAATTTGACATCTGGACTCAATGTAGAGGAAAATGATTAATTTAGAAAGAACAAGAAACACGCTCAATGGAAGTCTGCTTGTTGGAGCAAGCAAGGAACAGTGTTTTAAACCTGGCAGATGACTCTGTACTCAATCGAATCGGCTTTAGTTGGAGCACAGAAAGACACATAGGAAGAAATTGAGGTGTGCAGTGGAGACTCATCTGTGGTTCCCATGCTCCGCAGAGTTAGCTCCCTGCCTGTGCTCACACGGTTGAAAGTGTGTCTGCAAGACTTTGCATTAGTGTGTATGTGACACTGGCGTCCCCCAGAGCACAGACCAACGAGGTCTCACGGTGACACCTATTATCCACATGTAACATGACACACCACCAGGGAGAAAGACACAGTGAGAAGGGTGGTGGGGGTGAACGCTTCCCCTTCAAGCGCCTGTTCGCCTCAGCATTGATTATATCACAACATTCAACCATCTGCCTGAAACTGTACTACAGTTTTACTTTGTCGATGTGCTTGGCATACAAGGCCCTGACATATTTTGTGTCAATAGGGAATCAAGTTTGTCCTGGGAATGGCCTGGATCAACATAATGGAAGTCCGAAAATGTAATCTGCACATATGAGGTCAAGTTTGGGTTCTTGCCCACAGAGGTTCTTCTTAATAGTGCTTAGACATTTATTTTGATTAGAAAATAAACATTTATGGCCTTCAACCAGGCGTCAATGCCAAAACAAGAAATACCCTTTTAATAAATAGGCCTACTTTTTCCATTGGCCCTTTGAACTTTTCAGCCACCAACACATTTACTTTGCATGCCGTTAGTTCACTTTAAACAGGTAAACTCTAGCTGTACTCATTGGCATGTACGCTAACCAATGTCTGCATGAAGACTGGGTGAATGGTCAAACTGAATCGAACGGCAATTTATGGAGCCTCTAAAGCCTGCCACACATCAACTGTTGTGGCCAAACAAGACAGACACGCTGTGGCTGTTGGCCACAGCGTGTCTGTTGGCCACAGTGTGTCTAAAATGCACACAAGCTTTCACAAAAAACAAAAAATTATACTTGGTTGGCCATTGCATGGAGGAAGAATACATGCCGACTGTGGAAACAACATTCCGCACTGTTTAAATAGGTAATGCACATAAGAACAAGGTTTGGTGCCACATATTGTAGGTGCTGTAGATGTTATCACAGAGGGTCAAGGGTTGGTCTTAAGGTAGGTGTCAGTTTGGCTGCTGTGTGGTGGACGTGGTTAGACATTTGGAATAAGTAGGGGCTCCTTGGAGGGGGTTGACTGGAGACATTCTAAACTGTAGTATCTCTCTTTCTTTCGGCCTGCTCGGGTTTCCTAAATGCTGCCAGCTACAAAGCAAAATGCAGCCAAAAAAAGAGTTGGAGCACAAGTGCAAGGGTGTGTGTGTGTGTGTGTGTGTGTGTGTGTGTGTGTGTGTGTGTGTGTGTGTGTGTGTGTGTTGTGGGGTGTGAAGTAAGTAAAGGGAGTCTAGAGGGAGAGCAGGGGTGAAGGAAACTAAAGGTATGGAGGAGGGTAAGAGAGGGTGGAAGTGAAAAGGATTAATTCATTTATAGGGGAACTGTAAAATGAGAGAACATATCAAATGCATCAGTAAAGAAGTGTAGATAAGATACAATCAGGGAAATTGGAAGTTTCAGAGGAAGAAAGGAGAGAATAATAAATTGGGAGGGATTTAAAAAGGGGGCGTTGTCTGAAAGTCAAAGTAGCTCCTGTCTTTCTACCTCTTTCACTCTTTCCTTCAGTGGGAGCCGTCAAAATAATGGATTGTCACGCTAAAGGCCGGAGACAAGAGGGCAAAGGAGTTGCCCAGGCAGGGGGGTCGGGGAAGGAGGGAGTAATTGTAGAAGGCCAGGGGGAGGCCATTTTGGACAGATGGGGGTGAACACACAGAGAGGTCTGCTATGCTTCCAAAGCAATTTATTCCCTATTACAGAGTGGTGACAAAACACTGTGAGAGAGCAATTGTTATTCCAAAGCTGAGATCACGCTATTGACTGTTTTGCATTTCAGCTCTATTGCCTCCAAAATATTGTTTGTAATATTGAAATACTGTTATTTGCAAACAAAACTGTCCGAAAGTAAAAAGTGTGATGCAGCAAGTGCATGAAGAAATGATGCTGAGCATAACTTGCCGAGATCATAGAAGAGCTCACTATATACGGGAACAGTCCAAAGTTGGATACATCGCCGAGAACATTTTAGAGTTCGGAACGCCACTTGGCGTTCAAAACTTAAAAATGAACAGACAGTAACACATTCTGGATTCCGAAAGATGGAAAAAGAAACGGAGGAAGACTCGTTGGAGAGACCACCTGGACCATTTCAACAAGTCATGGAACAGAAGCGCCAGGACAGATGAAGAAAATCTCAGAAGGCTGATGTCCAAATTCACACATAATTTTTCGACTTGTGTAGCTAATTGATGTAAGCAAAACATTAGAAACAGCTCTCAATATGTTGCATTGTAATGCTACACCACCGCAGTCTAAAAATGAGTTCTGTCATACAAAAAAAAAAAAAATCCAAAAAACTGGAAGGTTTTGGTTTCTTGCAAAATTCTGCTTGGACACTTTATGCTTGTGAATATTCTTTGGCAGCCCTTGTAATATCTTTGAACAAGTTACAATGTATCTTGGCCCGGTGACTATTTTGAGCAGATTTTTCCTGGCCCACATGTGAACTGGTCATTTGTGGCTTCGCAAGGCTTCGGGCTGCTTCGAGTGTGAAACACACTTGAGCCGCACAACTCATCATTGCTCATCAGGAGGAAATGAAAGTCTGTATTTAAATGTGCTATTTAGAACCCGTGTGCCATCACCTCTTCATGTCAATGACAGTTGGGTCACATTGTAACTACTGTACTGTGGCTGCTGTGTTGTTTCTACACTGCGAGAACATTCACTTGCCAAACCAATGTCAGGCCTCCGATATCTTTGAATGGAGTTTCAATGCTATCGAATATGAGCTGCAGCTACTTTCCTAGAGGCTGTTTGTTGGTCTTAATAAACAGAAGGATTGCCTGTGTTTCTTCCCTCCTCTATTCCTCTGCCTCCTCAGCCAGTCTTGGTACAAGTGTGTTTGATGTATATTTGATAGATCCCAATATCCCTGCCTCTTTTTCCCTTGCTGACGATCGAGGATCAATAATGTACGTGCGTGTGTGCAGGTCTGGGTGTGTTTGTCAGAGAAGAACAGAGATGAGGTACTGGCTGAAAGCGATGTGAATGCAATGTCCTCCAGCTGTAAGATAGAGAAGATGGCCCACGCGAGACTATCCAATCCTATAGAGAGTTGGGCCGCACAATCAGGCGGTGTTGGATTTAATGGAAAGGTATGTGGATCATACTGTAATTTCCCTGTAGGCTCCCCTCAACAATGAAAAGAATGAAAACAAAAGAGAACCTATGGGAATGGGGTAACGGGAAACAGATTGATGTAAAATATGGAAGTGAAGAAAAAAAAATTAAATATCGTCGAAAATAGTGTGCACACCGTCCTTAGAGTAAGCATTACGTGACTAGACAAAGGAAAAAAAATGTTTAAAAAGTCAGGAAATGACCGATCTTCTGCTTGTTTGTAGACCTTAAATGGACAAAACATATATTGAAGTACAGCTTTTTTTTTTTTTTTTGGGCGATCCATTCATGAGTTCCTCCTCAGGCCTTGTGAGTCCCCCCGGCCAGTTTGCTCACTAGATGATTTTGGTCTACACCCAGTCTCTTGAATAGATGCGCATGGATGTTTCTTTCCCCCACGGTCTTCGACAGCCTGCGCACTTTAAAAGATGCCTCTCTCTACCATTTTGTCTAATACTTCAACAATGTCTATTTTGCTTGCAGTGATTTCTCCCACGAAGACCTCGGGGACACCCAAGCAAGCATGTGTTACATCCCTCCCCCACGTGCCTTTGCTCCTCTCTGAGAAAGGCAGGATGCTGCAATACCTCCAGAATGAAGTGATGGTGCCTTTGGGCTTCTAAGCCATTTGAAATGCAACCAAACAAGGTCTCCAAGGAAAGCTTTGAAACAATAGCACTCCTTTTTTCTGGGCATTAATTCAAGTAAGCATCATTTTTTTTCCTCCCCCCTGTGAAACAGCTCCGGCAGGACCCATCAAATAAAGTTTAACACAGACAAAGAGCATGTTTAGTTCAAATCCTAAGCGAAATAAGCCGCTTACTGGTGTGATGTGAACATATATTTCTCTTAGTATCTGTGGAATAAGTGTACAGCACCAACTGCAATCCCATCATAATTGTTGGATGTTTTCTGATGGATTATTACTTGGATAGACAGCTTGGAGTAACACAGTTATTGGCAGAGCTATTGTTTGCGTATCTCTGCGAAGGAAGAAAGACAGCCAGGAGTCTCATGAATTTATAACATCATTGTGGGTGTGGAATGCAGCTTTTTTTTCCCCTTCCACGAGTATGAACAATGTCTCTTTTGTCATCCACTAATTTCTTACCTAAATTATTTTCAGAATTCTAACAAGATGAATATCTATCAATTGCAGTAAGCTGTCATTTGAAAAGAAAATGTCCAAAGACCACAGGAAATTGGTTGATTTTTACCACCATGTGTGAGATACCTGAGAATATTCTCATTCATCCATTCTCAAGGCATTTCATTTCTCACAACTGGACTGTTCTGGTTGTTTTAGAAGATGGTTTGCCTTTTATCTGAGTAAGCTTCATCATTCATGCTTCCCTAGCCTGAGTGTTTGGGTGGAATCCCAACAATTTATCCCCAAAGTTAGGCCCAGTCCAGATGGAAATTGAGCCAAACTTTTCTTATTCTCTTTTTTTTTTAAGTTTCCTGTAAACACAGAATGCTTCTAGAAATATGTCCTAAAACCGTGCAGTATAAAAGCTAGGTCTGAAGTGGCTTTGTAACACTGCCACAGCCTAATATACAACCTTTCCGGCTTGTCAATGTATCGAATGTCATTTTCATGAAAGTGAGATGTGAATTCACTTGGATGGAACATTGACTGAGAAAAACTCATTTTATCACTGCTCTCCATGGTAAATCCTTCGCCTGCCACTCCTACTATCCTGCCAACATGACTGCGTAAACAAATGCACGCGGGGATCAGCCACGTGATGTCCAGAGCTCTGGTAGACCCAGGAGGAAAGGCAAATAGCGTGTATCCGTGTCGTGCTTCTAAGTGCTATGGCCAAACATTGGCCTGGTATGAACATGACAGCATTTTAGGTAATTTCCGCAAGTCCATGTTAACAGGAATTGCTTGACATAAACCTTTTCACTCGGTTGTTGTTTGTTGAAACATAGAAAAGGTCAGTGCCTCGGGGAACGGCTTAGGAGAGACAGCACAGGCTACAGTCATTGGCTCTCACGACATACATTTCAAATTGTGATGGCCTTTGATGTTCGCCCTCTGCAGAAACATGACGCTATCAACAAACTGCAGCTAAGTGGGCATGTCATTGCAACCCCTGCTAGCGTTTCCTCCCTTGGGGTTCCCTCACACGATCCTCCCTGAAGACAGTCTGTTTCACTCTCATCACCTGTCTTAGTGTCACTGGTGATGGACTGATGAACGGCTGGATGGATCCATGCATGTACATATATGTCAGGGTGTTGTCTGCAGGGGAAATAAGTCACATCTCAAGAAGTTCAATAAATGCCGGCAAGGTCTGGTCAGATTTCACACACTCACACACTAAAGATATTGGGTCCCAGCGAGGTTAAATAATGCCTTGGCTAAAAACTCATTTAGTGTATCACCATTACATAAAAGTGTGCTGATTGACATTAGGCTCATCAAACAGGACAAACATATACACCGGAAGCTCTTTTACAAAGTAATTGGTCAAAATTGCCTGAAAAGTTCTTTATAGACGACTGTTAATTCCTCCATTGCTGCTTATCATCACTGAAAGGTTTACTTGGAGCTGCTAGGTGCAACAGCCGTGTAACATTCCTGACCTAAAACGGCTGTTAAGGAGACGCCAGTGAATTAATGTTACTCATGTGTACACAGCCCAAACCGAATTCCTGCAGCCTCTTAAACCCTCTTTCTTCGTAAATCTGTCAAATCTCGCTCCAAAAGTGTCCAAATTCCCCCACTGAGCAATTAAACAAAGGCTATTTCAGTCAGCGCCACTCACAAAGAGAAGGTTCAAAAGGCCCTGCTGTACTACCATTAATACACATAACCAGTGTTGCCAGTTACCTTGAAAAAGTAACTTAGTCATACCTTAGCCATGAAATTCTCCTCGGTGTAGGGTGCTGTCCTGCCTGTTTTCCAGCTCTCCCAGGAGCAACACACCTGATTCAAATAATCCTGAATGTTTTATTGCCGCTTCAGAGCTGGCTGATGAGTTGATCATCTGAATGAGGAGAGATGGAAAACAGGCAGGACAGTGGCCCTGCAGGCCCAGCCAGAGCTGGACATGCCTGCCTTGTTGAATGGCTTGGCCCCCAAGAATACCAATTTGTCAACTCTGCTATCTTACTGAGTCAAGGTATGAATGAACTTGGTGACTCTGGATTCCCGGGATGGAGGACTTTTCCTATTATTCCAATGTGCATAATACATATTCAAGAACTGCTATTTTTCTGACGTCACAAACATTATTACCTGTTCCTATTTGGCTACAACCTTTTCAGATCATAATGCTGTACAGATGAAAGTGCTTCTGCAGGACTCATCGCTTAAAGCTGGTGATTTAAATATTTGAAATGTCAAAGTTGGACTTGGAAAGATTCGGAGCACCGGACTTCCACCGATGAGGCTGACCCTTAAAACATTCAAACTTTGAACTGTTCATTTTATCTGTATGTTTCAAAATCAAAGCCAAGACTTATGATTGGTCTTTTTTCCCCATCGAATGTTTCCTCTATGTATTGTGGATGCATTTATATATTTTTAGGATGACTATGACTAAATTTCTTTTTCTCTTTGCTTGACATTGCACTCATTACGTACACACTCTCTCACTCTGCAGCCATACAAAACTTATAATCACAACTGTAATATCCTGTTGTTTTGGATTATTCTCAGAATGCCAGCAGCCTAATCCTCAGCATGCTGACTAAATCCACTTAAATTGCTTTCAATCATTGCCTTGTGCACTGGTTCCCCGCACAAAAGAAATATATTCCGGATATAAATTCTCTGGTACGGGCCCCTTCAAAATAGCGTGGCAGAGGTCACAAACTGCTTGGTGAGAAATGCATTTACGGAAGATGAAGTACAGAGGCTGCTGTGTCACTGGAGGATAGAAACCTGCTGATTATATTCCTCATAATTATAAGAAGCTTAAACAAAATACCTGTACTGTCTTCTCAAGAGCATTCTTCAATAAGCTAACAGTGCTGACCGTTAATGTGAATGTCTTGAGTGTCTGAAGTGGACTAGTTATTAGATTTACTCCCTCAAGTGAAGCGAGTTTGCCTCTTGAATGTATTCAATAGTTTTTGTCGAGTGAGTGGTACATTTAGATGTTCCCGTCTCCAAAATAGTAGCTCCATTTCATGTTGAGCCTAAACACCTCATATCCTCTTCAACAGACTGCTGTTTATGTTTCAACCCGGCCTGACATGCTGTGTGTTCCTCTAACAGCCACCGCAGAGGAAAGTCCAACTGGTTTGTTCGGGTTAGACAACAGAGGCATGAGGGGAGGAAGACAGAGAAATTTGGGGTGGTGCAGAGATGGCGGGAAGTACGATGCTGAATTATAAGAGGGAGCAAAGAAAGGTGAGAGGGTAGAGGAGAAGAAGAGGAAGATGTTTGTGGTGTCACGAGGAGATTGATGGAGCTGAGGACCAGATCATTCGAGGGGGGGAGAGTCGAGCACCAAAAATGATGTAAAAGTAGAAACAGTAGTGGAAGTGAGGAGAGAAGGAAAATTAGTCCGTGTCAGAGGGGAAAGAGATGGAAGAGGAGAACAGATGTGGAGAGAAGACAAAGGATGGGTGGGTTGGGACCTCGGGGTTACATTCCTGAAGCGCAACCAACCTGGTGCTGCTCCTCTCCCCAACGTAAACACAGAATGGAAAGGAGGACTAACAATCTGTCACAGAATTAGGGAAAGATAAATGCCTCAGAGTGGGAGGAGATTCAGGAAAAAAGATTTGATAAACTAAGATATGAGTAAGTATTTGACAGTTGACATTATGACAGCATGAATTAAATGTTGACTACATCATCCAGTCATAACCTTTTACGACCATTTTCATCCCATTCCATCATGCCTGCCCCTGCCAGGTACTACAAATTGATATTTAAAATAAACCTTGCTCGTTGCATTGCTCAAAAACTATTGCGTTTGCTGGGTTGCTCATACTTGGCTGAGCATATGCTGTAGTTGTGTTCCAACAACGTTCACTTGATCGATTCATGGTGCCATTGCTACATCTGTTGGCCATAGAAGATGATGCAGCTCTTTTTCAATGACTTCAGTCGCAAAACAAAGCTGCGCTGAGATAAAAAGCTCCAAATCGACTGAATTGGAAGAGTATAGTCATTGAACAAATGTTTATTATTGTACTTGTAATTTGCAGTAGAGTAGAACATCAATGCATCATAAGATGAATTTGACAATATTTTGATTTGCTTAAAATCAAACAACAGTTTCATTACATACATGAAAGAGGCGACATATCACTTTACTCATACATTACATCTTGCATGTAATTTGGAGACAGTATTTTCATATCTGAAATAGAACCATGTAGAAGTACAAAATAAAATACATGTGAAAAAAGTCACATACAGTACCATCATAAAATCCCACTCAATAGAGTTTCTTATAAAACAGGCCTTCCTGTCATCATTTAAATAAAAAGACAAGAAAAAAGACGCTGTCCTCGACCTCCTACCACAAACAAGTTCGGGTTGAAGGTATTGCACCAGGTTGGATAACCCACAGAACCAAGACAGAATGCGGCAGACAACTAAAACGGAAACATCTTTTTTACACTTTTTTAAAAATCAACAATAACTTGGACTTCACACACACACACACACACACACACACACACACACACACACACACACACACACACAAACATATATATATATATATATGAATTGTGAATATCCACAATCCTGAAAGAAAGCAAGGTAGCGCCTGTCTAAATATTTTGAAAATCATAATTATACTCTCTTGAGTTTTTGAGGGTAGTGGATTATCCTTCAGTAGTTCACAACTGCAGGGTCTTCTCTCTTTGGCCTTAATTGAGGGCCTTTATTTCTCTGGAGGGAAATATAAGGGACAAAAAGGAAAGACTCAGAGATGACTGTAACTATGAATATGCATATGCAATGTACTAAACATTATAATTAATTAAGATTTTACTTTTAATTCATATGTTAACTCTTTACAATCTATCGTTTTTCTAACCAGTCAAATAATAACTGCCATGAATTAAAAAAAACAAAACAAATTACAATTGTATTCTGGTGCAATGCAGCATAAACAAAGATACTGTACAAAAAAAAAAAGATATAATATTTTGGAACATTCTTAAAATGTAGAATGACTATCAATAGATGTCTGTTACAGTTGTTGTAGAATATTTTCCTCGAATAGCTTTTTCAATAAAATGTGTGTCTGTTCCACATGCTGATCTCTTTTTTTTTATGGACAGTTAATAGTCAAAATATAAACTTACCTTGGATCTACAGCTAAATTAGTTACTGCTGCACCTATATAAAGAAAAAGACCCAATTCAAATTCAAATTATATCCAAGTACTGTACAAAGTAGGCCTGTCTTCATAGTCAAGTCAGGAAATAGGTCGAAACAGCCATTCTCTATTGACAGCCATTCTCTATTGTGATATATGTATGTATTACTAACACTTTGCTTACTTTTCTTCTGTTTTATGTATTTCCATGCCAGCACCAATGGAATCGTTGCGATGAACAACATCACTGAACAGATTGCTGTTTTTACAATAGGAATGTGATACTTTGGAATGCCTGTGGGTGAGAACAAATAATATGCTTTTTTTTTTTCAAACATCATATCTGGGGCTTCATAATTCACAGTACACTGTAAGCAAAAACATTCACGGACAAACTACTTAGGAACCAAGCATGGAATGCTGATTTCAGTAATGTAACAAAAGTCGAAAAAAGAATGTTTTAAAACACAACACTATCAATCTCGTGCAGCCCCAAAGTCATTGACATTTTTAAAAATGTTTTTGAAACACCTTAACCAAACGTTTTGCCAATTTTTTGCTACTCCATACTCTATTTGTACATACAGTATACTGTACTTGAATCTAAATATTAGATGCATCTTTCACTATGATTCAGTACGGTTCTACACCGCTGCAAACTACAACCACACTAATTACCACATGGTGAAATGAATGTTTCTCTGACGGTGTCAATCAAAACAACAAGCGGAAAAATGTTGAACATTGGTATAAGATGTATATGATGTCAGAATGGAAAAATGAAGCTTCAAATTTGCTTCATGAGGCAGTTGTATTTTTTGATTCCTCTAGATGACATTGTTTGATGTTTCTCATGTAAATAAGTGCTTTGGCGCAATAAAGGTTATAAAACAATGGTGCAAATCAAGAGGGTCTGTTACTAAGTGCGCATTTCGCACTTCTCAAACATCAACTCAGACTTTGGGGCAACAAACTCTCATGACTTTGTATTTTTGAATCTGTTGAATGTACTACTCACAGACAGACAACGACTCAGATGTGACACCACCCACGGAACAACTAATGAATGTTTCTTCTCCATCAGAGCAGTTGAAGGACACGGTACTGGAAATGTTGTACAACAGTGTTTTTGGATCGCTCTCTTCGCTCACGTTCAGAACCTTCCATGTGAGGCCACTGCTGTTCTCGACATTCCACATCAACTCGGTGTGCGGATAGCCTCCATGTGAGGCACATGTTGACAGGCAGCGATGTGCAGAACAAAACGTTGTGACTGCAGGTTTGCTGTAGTTGGCTGCCAGAGTACAAAAAAAAAGGGTAGCCTTGTTAGAAACTTAATTTGTCAATGAGTTAAACACACACACACACACACACACACACACACACACACACACACACACACACACACACACACACACAAATTAAGATATGAACATGTATGTACCTGTGACACTGAGGTGTATGCCTGTGACAGAAACATTTGGCCTTTCATTATACTGGATGTAACACTGATAGTCTCCACTATACGAAGCCTTCAGTTTGATCATTTGGACGTTTGCATTGTTGTTTTCCACTCTGGTGTTTTCCCATTTCTCCTTTGTTATGTTTCTCAATATATGGAAGCCATTTACAAATTCTCCGCCCCTTTGGAAGTAGAAGAATTGGATCGTCTTATGCTGGTCCACAGGACAGCGAATGGTCACATTCTTTCCAACTTCACCTCCGAGTTGAATCTGAGCAACAACACTTTCTGCAAGAGAAGCAAAATTAACCGTTACGTCGAGCTAAACCAGTTTAGTAACTATTGAGCAAGTTTTCACAAAGTAGCTCCATTAAACTGTGGAAATAAGGCCAATTCAGAAAAAGGAAGTCACTTTTTACACTTTGGATCGCAGTGGAACCATTACCACCACCCCAGTGTTCATACAAAATCCCAAATTAAAGGAATTTGAGCCCTTTTTTTAAAACCCATTTTATATTCTGGACTGGTCCCCTGTCAAGTTTTTTTTCTTTTCAGAGGACATGTGCTGTAGATACAGAAAACGTTTTAAACTCACATTCAGACATCATTGAATGGGAATTTAATCCATTTTGCCTCCATGCAAGTGAGACGCTCTGTCAGGGGTCATCAACATGGTGCCCGTGGGTGCCAGGCACCCCTTAAGGACCACGAGTAGCCCACGGGCTTGTTCTACAAATAATAACTATATAGCTAACCAGTGAAGTGATCATTTGTACAGATTTACATAAATTAAGTGTTGCAGATTGATATTTATCTATTTCCTACTATTGATGATCATTCTTATGAGAAACTATCAACATAATCAGTGTCTTCATAAAGATAGGTTGTCAATCGTTAATCATATGTCAAGGAAGTTTTGGCAAATTTGTTATTTCAGAAGTGTACCGGCATAGAAAACTGGACTTCACATTTCAGCAACTCCAAATGGTGGCGTGTCATTGGTCTAGTAATCTTTCATAGAACGTAATCAAAGCAAATGGACAGACAAATATAGCACTCAAAAGTTTCACTTCTCTCTCTTTGCTGTATGATTCACAAAGGGCCACCCCCCACCAAAAAAAAAACAAAAAAAAAACGAATTTGGGCCCATCTTCTTACGTCAAGGTACAGACAGAAATCAGGCACTCTGTGGTTTTTCTTCTTTCTTCTTTCTACCCACAATCTTCCTGCTGTAGACTGTAAATTTCGCCAGTGTGGGACAAATAAAGGATATCTCATCTTATTTGTTTTTCCCAAATTGGGTGGAGGTCTGTGCTCTGCAAAGTGCTAATGTGGTTTATCCATTGTGTCCCACTAGGGAAACAAAGGAGCAACATTGAATCCGTAGCCTTGGTAATAGTCTAGATTTATTGTGTACCAAACACAAGCCCCATGTCTTTTTCGTTTTTAACATTTTGTTTCCCTCCTAGGTTCCAAAACAACTTAAAAGTGATTAAAACAGTCTGAGAAGGCCGAGTGGGATAGAATGGGGTCATCTACAGAACAAACAAGCATCCACCCATTTCCTGCACTGCCCATATTCATGAGGGTTCACTGGTGAGCTGGAGCCGACCCCAGCTAGTTTGGAACGAGGAGCATTGCACACGGGTTGTGACCCAGTCGCAGGGCACATATGAATAACCGTTCACACTCACATTCACATCCAATGACGGTTTACACGACATGCTTCAATACAAGTAACGTGCATCTTTTGGAGTACCCAACCTCTGAACAGTGGGGCCAATGGCGCTAACTACACAACTACTGGCAATCTACAAAGATTTAATTTTAAAATGTTCATTTTTATTTACTTTTTAAGTACAAATATATTTTACGTTTTATTTCAAATCCAAATAAACCATTAGTCATGGCTTTTTGTTTTTCACTTTGGAAAATATGTGGATTTGAAGGTTATGGGTTTGTGTGATCTTTCAAACTTCCTCTTCAGACAAGTTGTTCTTTTCCATGTAAGTAGTCAGCTTCCTATTGACGTGGTTTCAGTTCTATCTTCCTCTTCAGAGATAATGAATGCTCCCCTTAATTTGGTCTTTCTCTGTCTCTAATCTGATATATTGTGCCATGATTAGAATGTGAAACTCTGCCTTCTCCTCCTGACTGATGCAAAAGTTCAAATTTCGGATTACCGATACTTTCCCGGACCACTGCATCCTTACGTTTACAAAAAAAAAAAACATGATCACATTATCCATTCAGCCATGATCTGAATTGCTTTTTTTCTCATGAGGATAGCGGTATGATCACATTATATTTATTATAATAAATATTATTTTGTTCTTGCATGTCTATCTCACAGTATGGGATTTGTGGTTTGAATCTCAGCTGCAGTGGGCGGAATTCACATGTAAGATTACTTGAATGAGTTTCTTCCTCTTGCATTTCAAAAATATGCATTTTAGCTTCATTTTTTAAATCTAAATTGTCCATACGTTTGAATTCTTGTTTGTCTATATGCACCCTGTGACTGACTTGAGTGTACGCTGTCCAAGTAATTTGGGATAATGACTGGATAGCCTAAAAATGATGCATTGATTATTTTGGAGTAATCTCTACATTATTTGTGAGAAAATTACTTATAAAAAATGTTATATTATTCATATTAGATTTCCCTTTCCATTTGGTTCCGTAAATAACAATTTATTTACAAATAAGGAAGACAGTAAGGCGCTGACTAAATTGACTGTTGAAGTATTTCGCAATACTGTTTGGAAACTCGACCTTTCCATTCCAACCCAGAGGAGGAGCAGACATGTTGTTTATGTCATGTTGAAAATGGAATGCATATTTTGTTTTATTGTCCTCTGTATTATGATTTGAGGAGACAATTATTTTGTAAATTGTTGGATGTGGCTGTGTATTTGTTACAATGTCAGAGGACGAAAGACTGCAATATCTGTTCAAGTATAAGCCTTTTTTTTTTTTTGGCTGAGTGTCTGTTACATGCTTGGATGCTACGTCAGGGGACTCTCTTTGTTTGATATATTTGTCGAATATCTGTTTGTTTTTGTGTGTTCTTAGCCAATGTGGGCTGGGCCCTTTTATTTGTGCATGACACTAAAATAAGAAATAAACTAACCTAAAACTAAAACTTCAAAAGCTTTTCAACATGATTTTGACTCTAAACTGATAATCACATGTGAGTGTTAAATACAAAACAACTGAATTAATCTTTACTTTTGATAATTTCAGGATTCATTTCAAGCAATGATATCAAATGTATGGATTGCTTTAGCAATGTGTGAACAGTTACGATTCTTTCTCATCGCGTGGTCACGACAGGATGGCGCTTTAAATTAGAGGGTTCTCTTTCCTCAAACACTCAATAACTGGAACAAAGCTTATTGGAGATTGAAGGATTCTTCAACCTCCAACATTACAGTGCATAAAATTGCTGTAAAACTCTCTTTTGTTGTTAACAGAAGCAAGCACTCACCTTGGGAGGCCAAGGGCCAACTTACAGTGAAAATTAAAGTCAACAGTCTCCATAGAACACTTGTTTTTCTAAGAAGAAAGAATGAAAGCCCACTTAATATTTGTCTTCACACTAGTTATCAAGAAGAAACAAGAGCATGTGTAAATTATCATCTACTGAGGCACTTCCACAGCATCCTAAGATATGCATCTTTTTCAAATTGCAAACATAACAAAATATTGAATATTGATGACTCACATACAAACAGGACAGTTATGGAAGTAATACTTACAAAAATTGTGGCGCAACCCAAATCGAGATCTGTTCAAAAGAGCATATTTAACTTGTAAAACTGATTTCCACAGTCATTTGAGGCCGAACAATCCCAGTTACTCCAGCAGACATATGAAAGTTTTCATTATTATCCATTCATCCAAATATTTTCTTCCAATCATTTCCGCTTATCCTAACGAGGGTCGCGGGGCGTGCTGAAGCTTATCCCAGCGGTCTTCGGGCAGTAGGCAGGGGCACCCTGAACGGGCTGCCAGCCACTCGCAGGGCACATATAGACGAACAACCATGCGCGCTCACACTCACACCTCGGGACAATTTGGAGTGGTCCATTAACCTGTCATGCATGTCTTTGGAATGAGGGGAGGAAACCGGAGTACCCGGAGAAAACCCAGGCAGGCGCGGGGAGAACATGCAAACTCCGCACAGACCAATTACATTATTTTCCCTCATTGCAATGGTAAAGGAGACTGGTTTACAAATATAAGGATTATTACATAATACAAATAAACTAAAGAAACAAAATGAGATAAGGCAAAGCAAAGAAGGAAGATAATATCTTACCATGTTGGTGTCTTCCTCGCTACTGTAACTGAATGCAAATGCATGTGAGTGGAACTGGGAGAGTGATGTGACAACTTCCTCTTTGCTAGGGTGAAACTTGACTCATTCAATTACACTCTAAAAAAATGAGAAGCGGGGCTTCTTTTTTTCACAAAAAACAAAAGTCACTCATAATTTTAATATGATTGAGGTACTATGTTTGACATTTATGTTTGTCCTGCATGTCATTCCAAAACCGCAAAGAAATATTGGACTACTCACATATTGAGCAGTATAAGATCCAGTGTGAGCACAACTAAGGCATTTCTGCCATCTTGTGTCGATTCTGATATTATAATTTAAAACTACAGTCAACGCCAGCAAATTTGCTGTTCGACACCAGCGGATTTGTTAATTCACGGAGTTTTCTCCCAATTTTTAAAATAATTTGTTTAGATTTTCCATCACATCTCCCTAGCCTTTTGTGAAGACTGTAACTATTTTTCAGTTTAAAACTACAGTCAACGCCAGCAAATTTGCTGTTTGACACCAGCGGATTTGTATATTCACGGATTTTTTCTCTTTTTCTCCCAATTTTTAAAATAATTTGTCTAAATTTTCCATCACATCTCCCAAGTCTTTTGTGAAGACTGTAACTACTTTTCAACATCTTATGAGGAATTGTTCTTGTTCTTACACAGAAACGCCTTCATTGTGTACCGTCGTTATGCATGTCGCGACATTGGCAAAGTCTTCACAAAAAGACATGAAAATTTGCCAATTTGCAACCAAGTTACGTAGTTTTACGTAAAATGCGTAGGATTCCAGGACAGCATGGTCACGTGACTTCAGGTTTCGGTGTTTCGTAGCAACCACGCAAGTGTTATCTTGGAGAAGCACGGGAGCGAACTGCAACAGTTTGCGCTGTTTCACTCCACGGATTCAGATTTATTTGTGGAGGCAGAGAAGTAGTATGTGGCTGAGCACTATTAAAGTCTTGTTTGTCTCCATGAACCAACGCCATCGCCAATCTGCTGACGTGAGGAGTATCCTTTTACTGAGGCAGCGTGCTAACCACAGCTAGCTTCTTAAGTCACTTCAGTGCTGGACTAAAACACCGTTCACATTCTAATGGTAATGTAAGAAACCAATTAATAATACGTCTACTTGTATGCATGTTCGTTAAATGCAGAAAAGTTTATTCTTACCAGACGTGGATATACTGTGTAAGTTATTCGCCCTTTTACGTTTTCTTCCACTCTACGATTGTTAAATTTAACGATGGAATTTAATGAATGTTGGTGTGAACGATCAAATCATCAATTGTTACGAACGAAAACGGACAAACAATGTTATGTTAATGTCCCAATGTCCTCAGCCTGCCTCCTCCACGCTCGTGACGGTCAAATCCACCAATGTAGAACGCAGTTGCAACCAGGTTGCACTCCACCTTTAGTCCAAAGTTAGCTGGAATCTGCTCCAGCTCCCCTGTGACCTTAATGAGGACATGCACTTACATGATGGATGAAGGATAGAATATTACTATTTGACATTCCGTGCTGTATAAAGCCACTTTGAATTGCAACTACATTAATACATTGTATTGAAAACACTGATGATTATTTTTGCAAAGGCACCTTTGTATTCCATTTTATTAGAACGTGTATGACATCCGATGTGTTCATCCAAACCATTCACGTAATTTTTCAAATTTTGTGTTGTGTATTTTAACATCTACCTCCTTCTGTACGTGTTTCATATAGGAGATGACCCAGCAACCAATCGATGGGCGTAAAAAGTTTATCCTTACCACTACAGGAAACTTCTATGAACTAAAGCCGCCATCCCTTCTGAATGACAGCCCAGAACTCAACAACTTCTTGGATGATGGGAACCAATTTGTCTTGTCCATCACCAGACATGAAAGTGATCTTCACCTGTCAAATAAGGTAGCGCAAACTTCAATTATCAAAAAGATTTTTTTCGTGCATCAAGGCATCTTATACAGGTGAGTCATCCCTTATCCCACGCCATATCCTACTCGGCCAATGGTGAGTCCGGCTTTTGTTACCATGACAACGGGATAGAGCCTGAGCTTTGCCACAACAGGCCTAGCAGGCAAGCTCTCATCATCTTGCCAGCAAGTGTATGGGTAACAGCAGTCTTGAATCTCAGCACTGAGTGCAATTTCTGGTTGATGTTTGGCTGTCTCCTTTTCCGTGTCACTCGGCGAGGTGGCTCTTGTCACGTCACCTGTGTTTGGTGGCTCTGGATCTTTAGCCACTCTAGTTGATCATGCATCTGTAGAAACTTGGTATCAGGGAGGTTGTTACCTAAATCAATCCCACTGCTTTGTAACATTGGGGCGAAGATGGCTGACTCGCAGACATTTTCAGAAATCGTCAGAGGAGTAAATATTTAATTGGTTGTTTAATTTTACACTTTATGTTCAGGCAGCCACTTTAAATACAGAAGGATTTGTCTACAGGCAGGTACAAGCACATTTCCCCTTTAAATGAATTTCTCTTCCTTCATCAGATCGAAGCATTGGAAGCCGGCCAAGAGAAAGTGTTGGTGTTCTTCAAGCTCTACCCCACAGTGATTACAGTGGAGAACCTCCACCAGAGCATCCTCGTATCATCGATGCTGGACTCCCCTATTAACACTCTATACCAGGCTGTGAGACGGGTCTTTGCACCTGTGCTGCTGAAGGATGAACACTGGCGTTCGGTGTTTGATCCTAAGCTTGCGAGTTTACTCAGTGAGTTGGAGCTGGGTCTGGGCTCAGTGGTCCGCCAGTCAGGAGCAACACCGTCTGACTTGAAAAGAGGACACTCGGAAGAAGATGTTTTGGGTATGTGCACACAGACCATTAAGTTGTAGGGAACTGTGCCCACTTGTGCAACTGCGTCATCTCAGTTATTATTTTTTAATTCTCCTCTCAAAAAGAAAAAAACATCCCAGAAATAAATTGTGTTGTACAGGCTATGGGTAACATTCATTTTTTTAAATGACACATCTTGGTATCATTTATTTTAATCGGAAAAAATGGCATTTGAAGAGGGGTGTGTAGACTTTTCATATCCACTGCATGTGTCTGTAAAAAAAAAAAAAGTACCTCTTTATTGGGCAGTGGGTAAAGTTGAGTCAAAAATGACGCCACATGCCTCACACTTTATCACAGTAGTTATAGATGTGAAAACAATTTCATAAATTATCACGAAAGAAAAGTACAACAATTGTCTGAATAATCAAAGAAACTTTGAAAAGGTTGCCATGCTAACTTTTTTTTTTCAGTTTATCTGAACCCAAATTTCGAGTTCATCCAGTTGTTAATTTGCTCTAGGCAGTGACACAACACGTTAATTGAACTGCTGTCATTTTTGGGGGCATTGATGATTATAGCTGCCAACATTGGCGTTTTATAGCAATTTCACCCAAAGGTCACGTTTACAGACAAAAAAGGGTCCAAGTGTGACTTATAGCACAAAAACCAAACCAAACATGATATATCAATTCTAGCACATTGTTAGATGTTATAGTACTTATAGAAAATTCATATCTTTCAAAATGGCCATCCGCGCAACTTTCTCCAATAATTCATGTGACGTTTTATACGTGTCTAACTGATGCAGGTATTCTTACACCCAATGATGAGTTCCTGTACTGGGCGGACGTGTCGGAGTCTGCAAAGAAGACCAATGTGAAAGAAAGGGCTGCATATTTCACTGAACAATTTAACCTTGTGGAGAAGGTATATAACACTATATACTGTATATGTAAAAAAAAAAAAATACTTAAAGTTAAGTTTATCACCAATTGTTGTACAAAATACAAGCATTTTCTGACAAGGATAACAATGATTATGTTGTTAGCAATTCACTTGGACTTTGTGGGTAAAATAAAAAAAAAAGATGAATAATGAAGATGTTCACTTATAAATGGAATGCTTTTCATCAAAGCAAGACAAAATCATGCAAACTACCCTTGTGTATGTGTCTCCATCAGGAGTATTGTGGTCTTGATGGCCTGTCTTTGTCCGATGTTCTGGATCTAGTGGAGCAGAGTAGAGACACACTCGATGGTGTCTGGCGGCAGCTTGATTACGAACCTTACCCAGAAACACGCATGGTCCGACTGATGGACGTTATTGGTGAGAATTAGCCTCAACAAGACATGTACTGAGTAATTACTACTCAAGGATTTTTTTTTTTCTTAAAGGAACATGTTTTTCAGGAATTTGTTTTTTAAAGTAACGTCATTCATGTCTTATTTCTTTTAAATCTTCAAGGTGGAGCCCTCGGACGATACGTCCAGAAGAAGCTCAGTGATCTCAAGATTTTTGAGCAGCCATTTGTGTCTGTGAGGGAGAGCTGGAAAACGGGGATCGCTATCTGTGAGCATTGGGTTGCAGCTTGTGAACATCTAACCGGACAGGTGCGAGAATGTTTGAAATAGTGAATAAAACTAATGATAAAATGGTTCAAAAAAAATATTGGATTGACTGACAAATATTTTCAAAACAATTGACCATTCTCAATGTCTGCTTTTTTTTTTTTTTTTTTTTTTTTAATCCTTCAAAAATTTTACTGCCAGGTCTGGAAGAGACATGCTCCTCATCCCTGGAAGGGAAACAAACACTGCCCGCAAATGCTACATTGCCTTGGCAAACGATTGGATGAGGTATACCGCATCAATTCAATCTATCAATCCACCTACCTACTTCATGAGTAACGAGTATTATTTGAATATTTCTCGCGTTGTTATTTAGAGCCTCTCTCGATTAGTTGAGTATGGAATGCACTTTCTCCATCAGGTGGTGTCTTTGCGGATTTTCCATGAAAAGCTGCTGCGTTTGCTACCGGGAGGAAAGCAGCAGGCTCTGACTTCAGATTGTGTGTTTGAACCGTTCTCTGGCCTTAATCCTCTCCAGTACAACCCCTACACTGAGGTTAGTTGACTGGACTGGTTGTGTGCATGTGCACCTACAATGTGCCTGGAGGTTTATTGACCACTTCTTTATGTAAACCTCTTTGTCCCAATAGAATAGATTTAGCAAAAGTGCCACCTGTACAAAGATGTGACCTAAATATTAGCAGCTCTTGCCAAA